TGTTTTCTAAAAAATCATTTTTTTATCAAAATTTAATGTTCATTTTGATTTTGTCTTACATGAAAATTGTCCATTAAAATGATTTTTTTTCCTTTACATTTGGTTATGACATTTGTTTCCATTGTAAAAAAAAATTGAACGTGAACTGGAAAATGATTTCCCACCCAAAATCAAGGTGTATTGGCGCGTGAGCCAACTCCAAAGAAAACAAAAGCCCTAGAAAATTTGGTTTTTCAAACAAGCCAAAACCAAGGAAAATGAAAACATTTTCCAAGTTCCAAGGTAAATATGGCTTATCAAATAAGACCTAATTGTTACTATAAGCAAATATTGATGAAGTTAACTTCAATTATAATGTGATTTATCGAATAAAAATTGGGGTGACAGTATAACCACCAATAAATAAAATAATAATATATTGACTAAAGGTTTAATTTCATCCATAGCCACCATGCTTTTCATTTAATTTCATCATAGCTACTGAACTTTAATTTCTTTCATGAAACCCACCATCTTTCCACTTAGTTTCACTATAGCCACACACTTTAATGAGTCCAACTGTTATTGAACGAAAAAATTACTACAATTGTAATTCGGCATAAATTTTCAGCAAAAGGTCAATATAAATTTAATTCAGTGTAAGTTTACAAAAAAAATGCAACTATTGTAATTTTAGATTTAATTGATAGATACTATTCCAACCGTTACACACTTTTACATGAAGAAATATGAGTATCGTCATACAAAGATTGATTTAGTTCAATGTTAATAATCGCGACCTTAATCAAAACAAGAATAATATGATATTTTTATGATTAAATTATATCTAAATTAATCTACTTATGTAACTGTTACTAAATTAACTAAAATAAATGTAATTTATGCTAAATGCAATTTAATATGTTCAATGAATGACAAGCGTACTAGGATTCCGAATTTTCATATAATAATAATAATAATAATAATAATAATAATAATAATAATAATAATAATTTTTAACATTAATTCTACACTTTGACAACACGATTGAATTTTGAAGATTATTTTATTTAACAATCTCTCTTGAGTAATGTTAAACATACTATCATATATGACTCGACTATATTTCTATAATGGATACGAACATACAAGAGTATATAAATTTTTATAAATATTTAAAGATTTACATAGAGTATAGTGTATTTCTATTTCTTATCGGACTCTATGACAATTTACACTATATCGAGCATATTTTCCTTATTTTGAATACATAAAATAAACTACCAATTTCATATAACTACTGTGCACAATAATTGTAAAGAAAAGATAATCACGTAAATCATTCAAAATTCAAAAAACATGTTTTCAATATCAAATATGTAAAACTAAATATTAATAACTCATATTACAAATTTAATCGTTCTCCTACCACAAAGAAATCTAGTCTAACATGTTATGAAGACAAAAACAAAAAATATAAAAGTTGTTCATCTCCCGAAAATGGTAAACGGGGCAGCTGCCCGGCATACTAAGTTGCCCTTGTAATTGAGGTTAAGGCTGCACCCAGCCCTTTTCTTCGGTCTTTCATCCATCTGGGTCCTTCACGTTAAATTACTTCATTTTTTTGGTCCTTCAACTTCTATTCAAATGCATATTAGTCCCCAAACTTCCGTCAATTAGCCAATTGATCATTTTTTCTTTTCCAATTGTTTAGAAACAGATCCAAAATTGAAATAAGATAAAATTAACTTAAGTTAAATTCAATATTAAAACAACAAAAAATTTAATAATACGGCCCGAATAAATGCACAAAAATACATTTATTAAACACCCAAAAACTAAAACATTTGTTTGTCCTCGAATAAAGCAGAGCAAAACTAAGAAATAAACCATATCGTTAACCTAAGCAAGTCACCAATTACAAACTTAACGTTGAATTGCTTATCGTATGTCTCATGCTCGAATTTTAGCAACACTTTAGAACAATCCAAATAATATCAAAAATAAATTTCTACTTATCAAATGCTCAACTTAGTTTGTGTGTGTGTGCGCGCGCGCGCGTGCTCGCCAATATTGAACTCACACCCATACTAGAATACAACCAATCAAGTGTTATTGATTTATTCATAATCTCAATCCTCATGTGATCAGTTTTTCCTCACATCTCTCGTATAAAATCACTCATTATGTTTTTCTCTCCAATCCTAAGGTATTTCTAGCACATGTGGGTTCGTAGTATTCATTAAAATATATTTTTCCACACAAGTATTAGAATTAGATGCTTGTAAACTTAGAAGGAAGATGGTAAGCATTTCTCATAGTCACACAGCCAGTCTCTAGAGTTCAATTCTCAAAGTCTTTATCGGATACCTCTCAGTTTTGATTATCTAAATTCCCTTTTCTTTCCTTTTGCTATGAATATATTTTAATATTTGCTCTTTTTTTGACATTTTATGTGCAAGATTTCTCTCCATTAAACTTTCTAAATGATCAATGTAACGAGCTTTAAGCTGATGACTCTCAAGTCAAATAGGGCACCATGTTTTAAATACCCTAACAGACTTAATCACTCGAGTAAAAAAGGTTACGAAGAGAAGTATAAGATGTATCACTTTTTTTATATGGGATTCGAAGCTTAACATTGGTCAGTGCATATTTTAAACTTCTTAACTTAAGCTCTTTCAGCAAAAGATTTGATCCAAAAACTCCAAACCATCAAATTTCTGCGAACACAAACACTAACCTTTCCACCCCAAACTACTTTTTAACAGTTTGGTTTCTATATAAAGGATTTGGCGATTTTATTCAAACTTAGGTCAACAACATCAATAAGTCCACAAAATTAAATTGTGTTCCAACATAAGTAACAGGTCAATACCGGCTATATGCTCAAACAAATTAAATTTAACATGGATAAGTACTCAAATAAGAGCATAGGTTACGGAATTTTCTAGTATTCTAGCTAAAGTTATACTCAATTCAAACAAATATCATCATAGGCGACAAGCTGATCAATGCTAAATTAGACACTATCCTTAAATTTTTCAATTTCTTTTCCAAATTGAATTAGTTATACAAACCCTATAAGTAGTTGACAAGCAAGAACAAATATCATAATTCTCCAAATACTTACCCACCACAAACAAAATTATTACATTGTCTTCAATGTAAAAGAAAACATAATCAAAATAAAGGAGTGAATGATCAGAAACTCTCCGGGTATAGATGAGGATGAGTGGAGGAATCAGGTTGGTCCGGCTAGCTTGATGAACTGGTAGGTTTGAAGGACTTGACAATCCAACTATGTGGCTGACGTTTTGATCAATTGTCTCCAGTTGATTGCCAAAATGTAGCATCTGTTCGTGCACTTGATCATATGCATAAGTGATGGAACCTACGTACTTGCCTACTCACTCTCTGTAGCTCTCCCTCAATGTTGATTTGCCTCCGCTACATCGCCTCCAAAATATTTGTTATGTTGCCAACAGATCTACACAAACAAAGGTGGAACCTCTGCAGCCAAACAGAACCCTCTGATAAGGCAGGGAAACATGATATTGTGCTGAGGATAGATCGATCCAGCCAACTCTCGTATGAAAGTGAATACGTGGGATCCCAAATCAATTTTGTAACCCTATGCTAGATGATAGAGTAGTTGGGCCTTTCTTTATTAAACCTACTCCGTTAGATTGTAGGATGGATGTTGGTGGAGACGAAGATATTAAGGAGCCACAACTTAGATGTCAATTGATTATTCATGAACCGATCCGTAAAAGTGGCCATACATCACCTCTACTGTATAAGAATCGGGCAACCAATGCCATATCTTGCTCAATAAGTTGGGGTCTATATCAGTGGTGTTCAACTCATAATATCCGTCAATCAATGTCGGTTGAATCGAATCCACCTGCCTCTTACCCATGTTTGGTTCATGTGTAATGACTATATGGTATCAATTTTAGTATT